CGTTGTGGATTACTTGGCATGCAGCATTGTCGTATAGCTGTTGGATGAGATGTATAATTGTCGGTGGCACCCCGTAGTAGCGAAGTAGTTTCCAAATCACCTCTCGATCGACGCTACCAAAGGCCTTTTCGAAGTCGATGAAGTTGAGATAGAGAGGTGACTGCCATTCCAAGCTTCGTTCAATGATGATCCATAATGTGGCGATCTGATCAATACATGACTTGTTTCTCCTGAATCCAGCCTGTTCCGGGCGAAGTTTTTCATCCAGCGCATGTTTGATTCTCTCCAGGATGATGCGGCTTAGTATTTTGCTTGGGATGGACAGGAGAATAATTCCGCGCCAGTTCTTGCATTGACTTAAGTCTCCTTTCTTTGGTAGTTTGAATAAGTATCCCTTCTTCCAATCCTCGGGTACTTTGCCTTCTTTCCACACCTTCTCCAGTAGTGGCGTCATCAAGCCTGCTGTTGTCTCTGGGTCCATTTTCAATGCTAGTGCGGGGATTCCATCTGGTTCTGCTGCAATTCCAGCTTTTATCATCTTGATTGCCTTGAGGACTTCTGATTTCGTCGGGGGGTTGGTGTTCACTGGCAGCTCTGTCTCCGTTGTTGGTATTATTGGGCGCGTTGTAGGAGGTGGTCGATTTAGGAGTCTTTTGAAGTGTTCAGCCCAGTGTTCCCTTTGCTCCACTTCTTTGGTGAGTGACTTTTCGTTGTCATCCTTCACCGGCTTAATTTGTGTCAAACTTTTGCCCGATAGGTACCTAGTTGTTTGATAGAGTGTTGCGAGACCTCCTTTGCCTGCAGCTTGTTCTGCTTCACTTGCCGTGGCTTCATAATATTTTCTTTTGTCTTCCCTGGCACTCTTCTTTACTCTTTTGTTCAGTGTCTTGTAGCTTGCATTCAAATCCTGTTTTTGCTGCTCGTCGGTGCACTGGAGAATCTTTTGTTTCACCATCCCTCTCTCTTCTATCAGTCTCCAAGTGTCCGTAGTGAGCCACTGTTTCTTCTGCCTCTTCTTCCTGCTTAGAACTTCCATCCAGGTTTGACTCCATACTGTCTTCAAGTTGTTCCAGTGCTTTTCGACGCTGACCTCTTCGCTAGTGTTGATTTGTGTCAAGGCTTTGTCTTTTATGCTTGCAGTGAAGATGTCCTTTGTGTCCTGGTCCTTCAGCTTGTCAGTATTGAACTTGGCTTGTGGTATATCTGCAGCTCCTGTTTCTCTGAAAGCTTTTAATTTGATTTGGATTGTCCCTTGTACGAGATAGTGGTCTGAGCCTCTTCTTACTTTCGTGTCCAGTAGGCTGCGCCTCCACTTCCTTGAGATTGAGATGAAGTCAATTTGGTTTTTGGTTCGCCCATCTGGTGACACCCATGTAGCCTTGTGGATATCCTTGTATTTGTATACGCTGCCACCGATCACTAGTTCATTGAAGGCTCAGAAGTCGGCGAAGAATTCTCCGTTTTCATTCATTTCTCCGAGAGCTTCTCTCCCCATGATGAGTTCCCTTCCTGTGTTGTCTGATCCCAGTTTGGCGTTCATGTCTCCCATTAGTATTTTAATGTCATAGACTTGAGTATTGTCCATTGTTGCCTGTAGTTGTCTGTAGAATTCTTCTTTCTTTTCGAGGTCTGCGTTGTTTGTCGGTGCATAGCAATGTATAATTGACACTTTCTTTCCTTTGGACGTGAATCTGGCGGTCATTATCCTTGGTCAGATCGCCTCCCATTGCATCAGAGCCTTCGTTGCTAGCCTCACTCCTGAGAAGGGGAGAGGGAAAAGGTTAGTGTTGCGTGACCGCAGAGCCCAGGTGACAACTGCTTGAGGCCGGTCACACGCGGCCTGTTTTTGGTTGTTCTTTCTTGTTTGGTGTGTCTCAGTAGCATATTTATCACTTCTGCCCTGTGACACAGCAGCAGGGAGCGCGGTCGTTGTTAATCCGGGCCCCGACCGATCCGGCATGATATTTTGTGATTTTGTTTGAGTCATAGCATCGGATTGGGTAGCTGCTTTTTGTCTAACCGCTATCCAAACAACCTTTCTGGCATGGTAGGACCTCAAGCGACATAAGTCTCAGCCAGTATAGCTTGTTGGGTCATTGCGGTGTTCAAGCCCGACCACCACGTCAAGGTAGCCGCTATCGGTGGGGAGATGGGCAATTAAGTTCCGGATATTTGTCAACAATCGTTTGAAAATTTGGATCGAGGATTGCTTTCATCTTAACGATTGACAAGCTGGGGCCTATGTAGGTGATGCCTTTTATGGACAGACTAGTAGTATTGTCAATCGGTCGTTTACGGCGGACGTCTACGAGTAAATCATGATGATTAAGTAGGTCCGTGCCAATGATGGGCATTGTGACGTCAGCGATTAGGAAAATCCACTGAATAGGTTTGCGTAAACCTACGTTCAGATAGACGTATTTTCTACCAAAAGTTGCAATTTGTTTTCCATTTGCAGTCTGTAAGTTGAACGTAGGTTCCTTCTGTCGATCTGCTGCTGTAGCAGGAAGGACGCTGACTTCGGTGCCTGTGTCGACTAAATATCTAGTCTAGCTGATCACATCATGTATGTAAAGCAAGCGGCTAGTACCACCGGCGACGGTGGCCGCTAATGCGTGCCGGCGGGATAGTTTCCCACAGACTTGGAGGCTTTGCCGAAATCACAAGGTTTTCGACAACATTTCGCTTCCTGGCCATAGGTGTTGTGATACCAGCACCAGTCGGGATTTTTGAGAGCACGTGGGTTGGACTTAGATCGACCACGTGCGTTTTGCCGTTGAGGGGATTTAGAACGACAGTAGGAGGAATTGCTAGGCTTGTTTGACCTAAGCATCTGCTGGATGGAGTTGCATAACTCAATCATTGCAGTATCCTTACTCGAAGTCGGTTTGGTAACTGAGTATATTTCGGTAACTGGCCGTTTCGTTATCTCTAGAATTTTATCTGCAGAGACAGCTAAGTCATCCATAAGAACACCCTGAAGTGTCACAAGTACAGTCTGTACTGACTGTGGCAGTTTGGATAAAAATAGTTCTCTGAACAGTCCTTCATCGAACCTACTTTGGCCAATAACCTCTCTTATTTTTGCCAGCATGCTCACGGCTGACTGATCCCCTAACTCGATGTTACGAAATAATTCATCCAGACGCTGTCGATCCGTGAGAACGTTTCTCCTGAGGAGAGATGCTTTCAGCAACTCGTACGAGTTACTTACCTCTGGACTCGACATCTGTACGGTTACGCACTTGCTGAATTCCCGCGGTAGGGCGTGAATAACTGCGAGGAACTGTGAACTTTGATCGGTTATGCAATGCTCACAAAAATCAGACTCAGCTATCTGAAACCACGTTTCAGCATTATCTGGCCAATATGGTACGAGATGAATTGTTTTGGCGGTTGAGCGAATACGAATAAACTTGGGGCTAGGATCACTCATGACAAAACGTGTGCCGATTACAATATAGTACAAGAACAAACACAAAAAGGAAAGAAATCACCGGGTTTATCTGCGTGTTTATTGAAGATGAAGTACGTGGTTGGGCTCACCAGTTTGGTGGTTGAAAGTATCGACGTTCGCGAACTGTACGGAGTATACTAACGCTAGATCTTATACCAACAACTTCTATAATATTCGTTTGTCGTGTACCAAACACAAAGCAAAAGACCAGGTATAGTTGTCCAAAGTACGTAATATATTTCGGGACCAAATCGCCGGTAGAAGTGAATGCTTAGCTGGCTAGTGATCGTGCACGCATGTGACACGACGGAGTACCAAGTGGCAAGGATGCTTGACCGGAAGCCTTCGGCTAAACAAGCCGACTTAAACAGTGAGGGTCAGCATCCAATGTTGAGTGATGATTGCTGTGGTCAATAATTTTGGGGAATTATTTACCGCCACACTGTCTACGCTGCCCAACTCTTCTATACACTGACAACGTAAAGATATGGAGGGAAATAAAGTGTTCGGAAGACTCAGATAGGCTGCAGGCAGACATAAAGCTTCTGGGAGACTAGGCGGCGGCCAATGGTATGACCTTCGACCTAAAATGTGCAAAGTTGTGGAATCACGCACCTGTAGGCTGCAGAATGCAAGTTACACCCTGTGCAACGAAAGCTTGTTCTTCACAACGTCACAGCGTGGCTTAGGTCTAGTTCTAATGGAAAAATGGACACAATTGTGAATTGAACGGGTATATAGCGAGGGTATACGCCGTCATACACTTGACACATGGACAGTTAGGTGCACTCACTACTGAGCTCTTTCCAAGGTTGTACATAACATGCGTCGGACCACAACTTGAAGTGCTTAATATCATTGCATCCCCACAGCTCAGAAGAGACGTAAACCTCTTTGAAAGAGTCCAAAGACGGGTGACCAAAGGAGTGATGGTTCTCCGAAATTAACCGTATAATGAAAAGCTAAAGAAATTAGTCCGATTCACACTTAGCTACCATCGGATTAGTGGGGTGGGGGTTAGATTACTGCATACAAGATGACAAATGACCAGAATCACCTAAACAATGGTGTTCTTCCATTGAGTGAGTATGGTCTATTCTCTTAAAATCGCATACACCACTCATGGGTGGACAACTGAATTCGTCGTCTTACTTCTTGACATTCTCCCGCGTCTTACTCTCCTGACTGCTACTCATTTTGGAGTCAACCAAAGCTCCGACGGTCGAGTTGCGGGAGTAACTACTCAGAAGTTTACCGAATGCCAGGAATCCTTGCCTCACAGTGAAGAAGCGAGCAAAAAGAGATCAGGTTGGCTTATACTAGGTCGTTGAAACGATATTGGATATTGGATATCAGGACTCAATATCATTGATGACAACTGGACTGTTTCGTTTGTGTGGATTTGACCCGCGCTCTGAGAATTAGTCACTGTACAAACCTCGTGTCGAGCTGTCGTGATTATCTTGCTGGTGTGACAGTCGGTTGTTATATTACAATGTCTACGCCGTCTAATGCTCCTCAAACTGGGACGTCGGCTTCTGATATGGAGAGTGTTCGCAGGCTGGTGTCTTCGCTAACAAATATGGAAACCCGAGGAAGTGTACTTTTGGAGCTGTGGTATGTTGTATTATTAACTGTTAAGAGTCCATTTATAAAGCAAAATGAGGGAGTCTGTGCCAGAACTCGCTCCAATCCTCTGGCATACATTTGGTTCGATTGCTGCATTGCTTCAAGAAGTATGCTCAATATATCCCTATATAAATCCTCCCAACTTGAGCGTAAGTTGTCATTTTTGCCGTAAATATACATATGTATATATATATATACATCCAGTCGGGCATAAGTGGACAGAGAATGGTTGAAATGGTCAAATTTGGGCATATGGTAAAAGTGTTAAGATAAGCAGCAAATCCTGTTTAAACCATTGGCAAAACATCATTGTGTTCGAGTATGTAAAACTTTCCCAGTTGGAGAATGCACATGGGAAATGTGGTCGAAACGGGCAATTTCGATCGGCCAGGTCAGGTTTTAAGTTACGGATAACAATGACATTATTTATTAAACATCAAAAGGAGCATAACAAAGAAAGAAACACTGATCTAATCATAGGTTCTTTGGCAATCTTAAGGTGTAACGGAATTGCCGAGAAAGTGTGTTATACTAACCGATGGAAACCTTTCTTGTCTGTCATTCTTCGATTTAACAATTGGTAGACTGGTGGGTGTAAGTTTGGTGGATTGCAGTGTCGTGGGAAATGTTTTGGTACCAGGGTCTGATTTAATTGAAGACTGACATGATACCTCCTGAGCAGAACTCTGGGTATGTTTGTCAACTTTTACGTGTGCTTCTGAGACGTGTGAGGACTCGAACTGCTGCACTTTTGCGTAAAGTTCTACGTTGTAAATTCAGTCAACTTCAGATTCTCCCATTAGGTCACCGGTTCAAATGTCATTGCTTCTATTCTTTGAGTGAAGTCACTATAGGTTTCACGAGGTTGTGTATTCATTTGGCTTTCATCCATGGAGTTGATTTTTCTTTGAAATTTTCGCATAGATAGTTTGCGTGAGAAAAAACTCTTTCAATTGATATACTTGCATTTATTCATATTTTTGTGACATTTGTGTATTTAGCTGTATCTGTGATTGTACCATTTGTAAAATAACCCATCAATGTATCCATGTTTGCCTTTATAGGCCCATCAATCTAATCGTGTTTGTAATGCACTCGCTCTTATGCAGTGCTTGGCATCCCATCCAGAAACCAGAAAGGAGTTTCTGAAGGCCAACATACCTCTGTACCTGTATACGTTTTTGAATACAAATAATCAAACGCGTCCATTCGAGCACTTGAGGTTGAGTAGCCTTGGAGTGATTGGTGCACTTGTTAAAGTAAGCGTTGTTTCTTAGGTACTTCAAAACATCAAATTTGCGAACGTTTTTTTGAAATATTCTTTAAAAAGTAAACTTATGTCATCTGGTTAGTGCTTGATTGATTTACAAAAACTCTTTGAAATTTGACTGTCTTTTGTACTTCTAGCTTCAAAGCTTTACTTTTGGAAAAGTAAGTCCACAACTTTCGGATCACGTAACGAAATAAGTGAAAATGGCTCCTATTCGTCAGTTATAGGTGTGAGTTTTGATCTTTATCTTCTTGGGCTTTCCTACAATAAGACCGATTTATTAGTTTACTTGGCGAAACACAATAATAGCGTTATTTATTTACTGATAATATTTCAAACTATACTCCAGCACGGTGCTCGAATTCTCCTGCACTATATTCTTTTCAAAAGAAGTGAGCCCTACCCGGATTTGGTTTGCTGAGAAGCTTTTCCACCGGGTTCCGAATGTAATTGAAAAGGAGAAAACTGTGACAGTCCAATTACTGTCTGGTTCACATATCAGTTGCATATGTTATTTCCCCAACTTTGCTACCACGTCTTCATTTTATGTTATTATCCTGGAAACTAAACTTATCATCACGTTTATAATCTACTGCGAAATTGATACAGAGGTGAGCTTCACTTAGCTTTTCAAATATTTTGGATACACGGTTTGTATTTCCGCACATAACATACATGCAGTAACGTACATTCTTCTGTTTATGGTTTCAGTAATGTTTCTACACTGTGAGGAAGGGTAACAGAAGTAGCTCAGTGTCAAAGCCATAGCCATTCCATTAGCTTACCAGTACATGTTGGTTGTTGAAAAAGCAGTAGTTGTCTCAACTTATTTTCAGTAAGAGCAAGTAATCCCTGTTGGCGTATTGTTTGAACGTCGCATTCACGAGTGCGCTTATGAATATTAGATAGAAATCGTATGATACTGAGAGTATTCATGCTATGCAGTTGTAAAAATGTTCCGAGAGACTGTGAACTGCCAAATGTCTTCACATGAGTCCCGTCTTTTGTGACAACTATCAAAGTAGCTTGTTAAATGATAAAGCATCAGTAAAATAATGGATATCTAGAGCCCATCTGATTTGTAAAGTTAGGTTGGACTATCCATAGGTAGTTCCATATTAATTTGTTCATTAGATATGTCACATACTTGAGCATTTACTGGGTGACGTTTCGAACACAATTTATTGTCTATGGTATCAATTATTATATGATATATCTAGTAGGCGAATTAATATGGAATTACTTGTATCCACATGTGCAGTTTCGAGATCGAATCGACTGTATTCTTGTGTTCATTTAAATAACAGTCGCGTTTTAAACATGACAGTTAATTATCAGGAATAAACTTTCTGTCTGGACGTTAACTCTATGTTTGTTAGAAAATTTTGTCTGTGATGTTGAAATACTTTCTTTACTGTTGTGGATTTTCTGAGATAACTACCATAATATTTAGCAGTCTACAGGTGTAAATCATGAAATGAAGTTAATGCAGTTTATTTGATAGATTATAAATTGGACTATCAAAGCTGGTCAGCTGATATCCTGAAGTTCGGATGTCTGTGCAATGACTCTACACACGATTTGGCTATGCAATATCAGAGGTATTCTGGTGTAAAGAATGAGTTTTGAAAACAACCTGTTAACAGGTAGTGACCACAGAGTTCATTTTAGTATGCTCTCTCGCTGTTTTACAGCATAGGTTTACTGCTTCATGTGATTGGAAATGGTGTCTTTTCGTGTTAAATCCATTTCGGTAAGGACGGGTGCAAAAGTGATATGATATTTAGACTAAATCGTTGATACAGTGATTGGATAAGTTAATAAGAATTTGTAAAATATGATTGGCAATCACTCAGTTAAATTAAAATCGCTTTAGTGTGAACCAAAAATGTTGATATGAAAGACGAAAGCGTCATGTAAAAAAAATAGGTGAAACCCGAAACACTGGTCACTCAAAATGTGTTATTAGTGGTTCTTTAGAAGCACCCAGTGTTTGGAATGAATCAGACTGTTTTAGCTATACAGCATTCCCGTGATGAGTAGTGGTTAGAAACATTAGTAATTCAGAAGCACTATTTCCTTAATCTACAATTTCTTTTCCCTTTCAGACGGATGAACCAGAGGTCATAGCATTTCTCCTGGGGTCGGAAATTATACCTCTTTGTCTGGTAATCATGGAGTCAGGAAGTGAACTGAGTAGAACTGTGAGTTTTGCGTCTTCCAGTCAATCATGTGTTGAAGTGCATTTAGGAAAATCATTAATATATCAGTGTAGCAATTCAGACTAGACTTTACAATTCGAATGCAAGAAATTGGACATCTTCTGTTAGTGTTTCACTGTTGTTTATGCAAAATACTGTTGTATCCTGGAAATTTCCCACAGTTCTGTGAATATCATTTAAACAGCAGATGAAATGACATTTGTCGTTTGCAGTTCTGATTTATTATACAGGAGTGATGTGATTCAAAATCAAATTAGGGTAGAGTTAACTGTTAATCACATGATTTGGTTGCCTAGGTATTTGTTTTACAAAGTACTTATTTTGTTAGAAATCTAAAAACGTGAAGTTCACATTAGATGACATCATTATGTATGTGACTATTTCACATTGGTTATACCACCTGCAAACTCCACGTCACTAATTCATTCCTCCATATCCTTGTAAACAATCTAGGTGGCGACCTTCATTATGCAGAAGCTTCTTTTGGATGAAGCCGGTCTGGCGTACATCTGTCAAACTTATGACCGTTTCGTTCACGTAGCTACTGTTTTGGAAAAAATTGTAATCGACTTGGCTAGAGAGCAGTCATTACGCCTTTTGAAACACGTGATTCGGTGCTACCTACGTCTTTCAGATGATTCGCGGTAAGTGTTTTCAGCCTAACAATCAGGGTTATGCTTACATTGAAAAATGTCGTGTAATCATTTAAAGTTACTATCACTATACGTTTCTTGTACCCGTTTTCTGCATAATATTGTTAAGACGGACAACATAATGTCAGCGATAAAGTCATGGTTGAAACTATCAATCAGATATTTGATTGGTTGCAGGATTTCGTCATGCACTGACATTGGTTAGAGAAGCATTGGAACACCTGGGAGTACTAGACAGCTGTTTCGTCCTAGTTTGGGACTCTTCACAGTACATCCCCGCCGCCAGGGTTCGAACCCAGGAGCTTCTGGTTACAAGGCAAGCTCGTAGACCAAGTATTGTGAATAACAAACCTGTTGTGGTTGTTGTTTTTGCCGCAGTTGTCTCAATTGAATCTGACTTCTGTGTGTCTACTCAGTGTGGCGGACATTTTCCTAGTGATCAGTTGTCTGGAGACGCAATGTAGTCAGAATGGGTAACAGCCAACAAATCATCCGTTATAACAAAAATAACAGAAGTAATAAACTTCGCGAAATAATTGGTAATAATGGCGCAGAAAAATTACTAGTATCCTACTGGGAGCAGAATGTTATTGTTATTCATATCACATAGAAAACAACTTCTATAGTACGTTTTAGTAGCCACTTATCTCTTATTTTCAAATTTGATGCAGCTCAGCAATCTTTCGAGAGTTTTTGTCTCAAAACCAAATGTTGATAAGACAGACCAGATAAATATTATGTGTCTTACAGATAACTATCACTTTAAACTGTTAAGTAATAACTCAGACGTTATCAATGTCTAAATATGATAATTTTTACCTCCGATTTTTATTTCAGAGCGCGTGGTGCTCTTCGAACATGTTTGCCACAACAGCTCATAGATGGCACATTCAGTGGTTTACTGGAGAGAGATGTGGCTACTACACGATGGCTAACACAGTTGATTGGTCGGCTGTCTGCTCCGACAGTTGCATCTGAAGGTACTGCCAGTACAACGGTTTCTGGTGTTGGTTCCATGGAAGCTACTACACCACAGGCTGTTACTGCTACTCTCACCTGCCTTCCATCAACTACAGCGGTTGGTTCTGCTGTGACTACTGCTGCATCTAGTGTTGAAATTTGTGGAACGTCTGTTTCAAGTGGAGTCACAAGTGCTTCTGTGAATGGGTCAGGAGCACCTGTATCTTCGTCATGTACACAGGGTGTGGACTCTGTGACATCTACGAGCAGTTGATGAACTTACGTATAACCCTGGGAATGATGTTATACGTAATGTGTATATATGATTTCTATTTCTATTGTAATTGATTTACTTTTACTCGCTAGTGCTTGACATGCCTATTATCTAGTATTTTTGATGATAAGTTTTCCACTTTATTCCTAACGTGATTGTAATTTTGCATTATCTCTGTATGGATCCTTATTCTGATAAATTTACTAATGTCCATGTGTTTTATGCTACTAGACACATATATGTCCAGACCAAGTTTACTTTTAACAGTTTGGAAAAAAGTTGGGCATTGGGTATATGATGTTAACTGAAGACGACTGCAAAACCTTCTTATTCGTTTCATATAACATATGCATTTGGCAATTTTGAATTCACAGGTGAAAACATATAATTGCTGTAAGGAAAATGTTAACAGTTGTGATTACAGTTCACCTGTCATCCGTTTTCATATTTGAAAAACGGATGTTTGTCTAGAGGTATATAAACGGTACTCCTTACACACGGAAGATTTATAAATCATGCATATGAGTTAGATTTTTGGTGTATACTGTTGGTCCATTTTTACTGTAAGGAAAACTACTCAGATAATGTGTTGGATACGGGTATTCAACATTCTTCAACAAGTTGTAAGAGAAGAACATCTTCCGACAGACTGCATGAATGCCTTGGATACAGCGACTCCACATTTTACCGCCGTCAAAAATGGTTACGTGATGCAGCATTTAGTGACTGGGACTTATGGAAACATTACTGCGCATCTAAGGAAGATGTGGCAAAGGGTAATAAATTACCTTCGCCTTCAAGTTCAACTGTACAGGGAACAGTGGGTATACATCGTACTAGTGAGGCCATCACTGTTGTTTCACAAATTGAGGAAAACCGTAGCATGAATTATTATGCAATAAATAATTTTAATAGGACTTCAGGTTGTTCCTGAATAGATGACACACAAAGAGCTGGTCAGAAAGTCAATTGTGGAATTGTTCCTATCATCCAATGTAGCAGGGGCTGGTACGCAAGAGATTTTGGACTGTATGCGTAAATTTAGTCCACATGTGCCAACAACCATGAGAGGCTTGCTAGAAGACAGCGGTATGTGTGTACCTAGATTTCTTGGGCAAGGTGTTTGCTATCATATTGGACTGAAGGAAAATCTGCAGCGTTATCTAGATAGTTGAGTTGACTACGATACTTTTAAACATGTTGGCTTGCGAACTAACTATGACGGTTAATCTATATCGAACAGTTCTTCACAGTAATTGTGGCCGTTCCTAGGTCGTATTACAACTCCATACGTCAGTGACGTTTTCTTAATTGGCATACATGGTGGTTTGAGAAACCGAATGACTTCAATGAGGTTTCTAGGGACCTATTAGTTGAATTGAAAGACCTTTCTAAAAACGGTCTATATGTTGAGAAGCGGGCTAGGAGTGTGACTGTCAGTGTTCTAGCATTTATATTTGACACACCCGCTCGTTCTAATGTCAAATAAACTGTCAGTCACAATGGAAAAACAGGCTGTGATAACTGTGAATTCATGGGTTGTCGTTTGGAGAGTAGGATGACATTTCCTAGTGGGAAATATACCCTTGGAAATGATAAGTCATTCCGTGGTAATGTTCAAGCAAGTCACCATCGGGGCAGAACCTGTCTTGAGGAATTGCCCCTTGACGTGGTCAAATCGTTTCCCTTGGAGCCAATGCATCTCATATACCTTGATGTTGTTAATAAGTTGGTCCTCCTTTGGGAGGGTCTTGCAGCACGGCGAGAGAAGCAAATGAATAGTAAAATTGATATAAGAATAAAACTTGGGCACTGTGGTAGAGTGTAATTCCATTATGGGTAAATTTTATTTTGATAGAGTCTCACAGTGTTATACAGTAATATTTACTGATGACGTTTCGAGCACAATTTATTGCTCATAATCATATCAAGGTAATCACACGACTTCCTAAATTCATTTATATAGTTCCATTGTTTTTCACTTGATTTGATTGGTAGTAATATTTTCCATATTTCAGGTATGAGTGGTGAATCATTTCTATTGCATGTGTTGGGTGTAGATTCGATGAACAAGGATTCAGTAATCAACCTCTCTCTCCACCTACCTAGATTACTTTTTAGAATGTTAACCCTCTCCCACCCTGTTGTGTGGTTGTGTGCTAATGCATGCATTGCAATTGCTGAGCTTTTCTCTAAATTACTTATCTTCTCTGGGTCAACCATTCTTACCTTAGCTAAATTCTTATGTTCTGACAATCTGACTACCCCTGACCTACTAGTTTCACCTATGTAGTTGACCTCACAGTCTCTCTTACTTATGTTATTATTACTAGTTTCACAATTATAGAGAGAGAGAGAAAATATAAGTCATCTACAGTTATACCATATAAAGAGGGACATCTGAGACCCTACGTAGGATTCTAAATAAAGCAGGAATTAGGGTGGCATTTAAACCTACAAATTCACTCAGGGACAAGCTCTGTAGGTTAAAGGACCCAGTGGACCCAATTAGACAAAATAACATAATTTACAAAATACCCTGCAATGACCGTGAGGTCAACTACATAGGTGAAACTAGTAGGTCAGGGGTAGTCAGATTGTCAGAACATAAGAATTTAGCTAAGGTAAGAATGGTTGACCCAGAGAAGATAAGTAATTTAGAGAAAAGCTCAGCAATTGCAATGCATGCATTAGCACACAACCACACAACAGGGTGGGAGAGGGTTAACATTCTAAAAAGTAATCTAGGTAGGTGGAGAGAGAGGTTGATTACTGAATCCTTGTTCATCGAATCTACACCCAACACATGCAATAGAAATGATTCACCACTCATACCTGAAATATGGAAAATATTACTACCAATCAAATCAAGTGAAAAACAATGGAACTATATAAATGAATTTAGGAAGTCGTGTGATTACCTTGATATGATTATGAGCAATAAATTGTGCTCGAAACGTCATCAGTAAATATTACTGTATAACACTGTGAGACCTTATCAAAATAAAATTTACCCATAATGAATAGTAACATTATTGCTGATATTATTAACGGACTGCAAGTAAGTAGGAACCACATTCCTTCTGATTTTCAGAGGAAATGTAGGTCGTTTGGTGACTTTAGCCAATGGAAGGCAACTGAGTGTAGACTTTTCCTTCTATATTTGGGTCCTGTCCTACCCAGAAACACTCTGCCATCTCCCTGTACGCTAATTTCAGGAGATTATCCCTGGCAGTATACTTACTTTCGAGTACCAAATACAGCCGACTGTTTTTGGATGCTGCTCAGACAGATTTGAGTAATTTCCTACTGCAATATGAGAATTGTTTCGGAAGTGAACATATTGTTTACAATATTCATTCTCTGAAACATATAGCGGATGACGTCGAGCTGCATGGGCCATTAGAAGGTTTCAGTGCATTTCCCTTTGAATCCTATATGCGCAAGATCAGACAGTCCGTGCACTTTGGTTATGCTGTGGCTAGGCAGGCAGCTCAGCGTTATGTTGAGCACGTGTACTTAATGAAAAGTGCAGGTGTCAAGCATGCAGCTAAAGAAGCTGATACTAAGGGCGGTGAGTTTAGCAAAGGAAAGTTGACGTATCTGAACACCATATTTACATCTTATTCTCCGGACAATGTCATCTTGGCCTTAGGTAAACCAGGGAATATAGTGGAAATGGAAAGTGAAGATATCATATGCTTTCGATCCTACTGCGATTTTAGTGATAATTTTATTACACCACTTAAATACAAGAATTTAGGATATTCAGATGTTCAAAATTCAGTCACGAAACACACTGGATATCCGATCTGAATATTGTTTGCAAGTGCATGACCGTTCCAACTCCTAATGACGAAGTAGTCATCCCCCTGCTTCATACTTTTAAATCAAGGTACTATGCAGTAACTTATGAGATTTGCTAATTTTTTGCTCGAACTGTTAATATGTAATTCGTGCAAGTTATTTTGTAACATCTATTTGTTGTCAAGTCTGAGCATCTACCTTTAACCCGACCGAAAGCTGCTACCTTGACGTGGTGGTCGGGCTTGAACACCGCAATGACCCAACAAGCTATACTGGCTGGAACTTATGTTCCTGCAGGTCCTACCATGCCAGAAAGGTTGTTTGGATAGCAGTTAGACTAAAAGCAGTTACCCAATCCAATCCTATGATTTCAAATAAATCACAAAACATCATGCCGGATCGGTCGGGGCCCGGATTAACAACGACCGCGCTTCCTGCTGCTGTGTCACAGGGCAGAAGTGATAAATACGCTACTGAGACACACCAAATAAAAAAGAACAAACAAAAACAGGCCGTGTGTGACCGGCCTCAAGCAGTTGTTCCCTGGGCTCTGCGGTCACGCAACCAACTTCCACGGTGTGGGCATCCGGGAAGTGACAATCGCCCTCACAATCCGAAGTGCATGCGAAACCCCTCTAATCCTCGCTCATCTTTGTCTTCATCTTCATCTCTATTATCTTGCCTTCCTTCTACCAATGCAACCTCTCTACTTGTTGGCTCTTCACCTCCTCTTCACTCTGTGTGCACTGATAACGATGGGTGGGAGAAGGCAAATCATAAGTGAGACTATTTGTGAGAAAAATGGCTCCTTAATTAGCTCTCAGGATAGACGCCTCGAACGCTGGAAAGAACACTTCGAGGAACAGTTTAACTTGCCTACAGCCACACTGAGCCTCCCCGCCATCCAGCACACACCCGAATGGGACATAGACACTGGCCCGCCGTCTGTAAGTGAGGTCACCAAAGCTATCTGTAATCTGAAACGAGGCAAAGCGGCAGGACCCGACGGAATTATTCCGGAGGTGTTTAAATATGGGGGTGACATACTAGTATATAGTTTAACTAAGGTACTAGGTAACGTCTGGGAATCAGAGACGGTTCCATCAGACTGGGGTAAGTCACTTATTATACCAGTATTC